TCGCCTTCATTGTTTTGTCGTCATTTATTTTTTGTATTTCAGTTGTATCATCGCAAAGTGCTAAATTAATTTGTTTCATTTTTTCACAAATAGTTTGTGTGAAATTGTGTAAAACGATTTTTTGAGAATTAAATACTAAGAACTTGTCGCAATGTTTTCGAATTGTGACTTCACAATTTGTAGAATTATTTATTGTGTAGTCCCCAACTATCTCAAACACAGTTTTTAATTCACAACAATTTATAAATGTTACATATTGACAGTACTTCCCAAGTAGATTCACATTTTTTAAACCAACAAAAATAATTGTTTTAATTTCTTGTGTTGTTAAATAAATTTGTTGGACAAAATTGTTTAACACAACAAATGGGGCATCCAGTGTTATTTTTAAACGTTTTTGATATGTTTGATTTGTTTTTTCAGTGTTTTCGAGTGTAAAAGTGTCAATTTCATATTCTTCGTGTTGATCATCTTGTTTAATTGGCAAGTTGTAACAACATGATTTATCAACAACAAACACATTATCACTAAATCGCGCGTTTTCAAGACACAACATGCCGTCAATGACATCTTTAGATTCCAATAAAGTGTATTGGAGCACATTAATCCCATCTTTTTCAAGCTGTGTTTTTAATTTGGATATTTTCACTTTGTCGATCAAAGAAAGAACACTGTTTTCTAACACAACGTTTATTTTGATTGCTTTCAGTTTGAGAGATTTTCTTCGTTGTGGTAACGTGCCAATTAATTGAATAAAGTCTGGGAATGCACATCTCCAAAATGATAATGAAATAAGAAATTTGATTTCTATAATATCATATATGTCTTCAAATTTGCAATACTTCTCTACAACATTAACATATTGAAGATTTTTAAAATAATTAAAAGACTTGAAATTATTTAAAGTACCATCTAAATATTAATGAGCCACTTTTGTCAATGCAACTTCGTCGAGTTGTTTGCAACATATCAAATTTCTAGTTGTTTTTACTAAACGAATAAATTTGACTTTCTCGATGATAAAACGTTGATGTTCACTCTTTGACATTTTTTCTAACATATAATCTGCAACTTGAAGAGTTTCTATGTTCGGAAAAGTTTGTTCAATAAAATTAAAGATTTGAAAAGAGAATTTTGAATAATTTTTATAAGAAGATTTTAAAAAAACATCATCAACACTAATGTATGGATTGATGTATAATTTTTCTAATGAAGATTTACACTTTTTGTTGATTTGAAGAAATGTTTTGAGCGAAGGCAAGTCGTTCAAATACAACGAAATGTTCATTAAAAAGACGTGTTCAAGTTGTGTCATGTTTCAGTTTATTAATTAGTTTTGCAAATAAAGCACATTTTTGTATGTTTGAATTAATTTGTTTAAAAGTGCTTCAACTTTAAAAAACAAAAAACACCGAACAGATTTAACACTTAACTGGCCGAATGTCTACTCAAGGGACATACAACAATAATTTTTTACCATTATTGTTTTTTTGCCTGATTGTTTTATTAAATTAAAAATTATAATTTTAAGATATGGAATAAAGCAAAATACAAAATTTAAGTTTGTCGAACCATTTGAATAGTTCAAAAAACTATTCAAATACTTTTTTAATATAATTGTTCAAGTATTTTTATTTTTTTTAATTTGGTCAAAATATTGTTTTATTTAATATTTATTATAGTATAAAAATTATTAATTATAAGTAAAAATTATAGTTCTTGTCCAAATATTGGTACCATTAATAAAAATTCGGTATTGTTGCTGTGATAAATACCCGGCAAAACAGTCGTTTTCATTATACTATAATAATCATTCTAATAGTTAATTTCTAATTTGATAAAACTAATGTATAGTTTAATAATTGGTAACAATAAACACAATAATGTATTTCTGTTTTTATCTACTAAAATGGTTTTTATTAACTAATATTTATAATTTAAAATCTTGCAAAAGGCAAAGTTTTACATAATACAAAATGACTATATTGTAGTTGTTTTATTCGAAAAAGTCGAATTAAAAATTGAGTGCTAAAACAAAAAAGCAATTATCATTTATTTATAATTCTTTCTAGAAAAACAGGTCAAAAATGAAGAAGCAGTGCAAACAAGGTTATGGGTAAATGGACTGACCAGAAGCAACAATCAAACATTAATTTTATCATAATTTTATTAAAAAATGGATTATAAAAACAGAAAAAAAACACTTGTTTTATTAAGCATCAAATAATCTTATTTGTGTTTTATCTTATTGAGATCCGATTACGGTCGATTGCACTGTGCACGAAAATTGTCATAGAAATTGATAAACGGGAAATACCAATGATATAAATTGATTATTTATGAATTCCGCGACTAATTTGTCAATTTTTTATGAAAATTGGTTAAATCTTTTTTAATTGAGTCGACATTTATACTTTTTGAGTAAGATTTTGTCCCAAAAGGGACATGGGTTGTTTCAAGTACTTTTTTTCTAAAAAAATCTTGGCGTCTCTGTCTTTTTTTACCTTGCCTTCAAAAAAATATTTCAGCCATTTAAGTGTTAAATGAAAAAAAACAAAACATTTAATTTGTAATAACTTAAAAATTATCGAACATTTTAATAATTTTCAAAATCATTCCATTTGAACAACAATAATTCTATCTGCGTTAAAAAACGAAATAGGGTCAACCCATTTATTATAGTCTGAATAATCTCTCACGCCAAAAGAAAATTCGTCATAAAACGGGTACAAATTGAATTGAAATTCCATTTTATATATATTATTTAACTTTACTTTCGCATCATTTAACTTGTGCATTTTTTCTACTTCATATTTTTTGTAATCACCAAAAATTGTTTTGAAAGCGAAAACGTAGTCGTTTTGGACATCAAAAATCTTTCCATTGGGAAAATAATGAAACGTACTATAATCCGGCAAATATACACCAGCTTCTTTGCAAAATAATCCAAAGACATTGTTTTTACATACAATGACATACAACAATTTCTTTTTATTAAGAATAGTTTGGAAGATGTATTCATTCGATGTTCGATCACTAATATGAAGAACGTCTGTGTCAAATAACACTCCTCCAATGTGAAAAGTAGTCCACTTCTCGATTATTTGAAACACGGAATTTTCATTTAAAAATAGACAATTTAAACACTCCACATTTTGTTCGTAAAGATAAGATAATTGTGAAGGATAATCCCAAACATCTTGAATTCGACAATTTGTATAAAAGAAATGTGCTCTACCATAAAGTGACTTCTCGGTGTGTCTTGTGTTGTTTTCATTTTTTAGTTTGTAATGCCAAGTTATTTCATTAGAGTCAATTTCAAGATTAAAAGTCCAGTTGTTTCCGGGGTTCCAAGTCATTTGATGTTCAGTAAATTGAATTGTGTATGGGGGTTTCGTTGAGATGTATAACATTTCTCCGTATTGTGTGTTATAGTTTAATTCAAATGAAAAAACAACCATCTACTTTTAAAAGTTTTTTTTTTAGTTCATCAATTGATAAAATCATTCAATAATATAAAAATAATTGATTAAAATTTCAACTTATGTCTAATAATTATTAATATATAGAATTATTAATATGGTACTGTCTTCTAGATTTCTTTCTAAAATATGTACTATAATTTTTGTTAAATATATTATCAAAAATTATGTATAGTTGTAATATGTGTTTATAATATTGAATTATTTTTAATTACTTTTCCATATATTTGTTTTATTTGTTGTATATATAATACAAATGTATATAACTACAAAATTAACGATTGATTACATGTAAAAATATGAATTGGGTTTTTTACAATTAACAACAGTATAATATTTTTTAAGACAATGTTTAAATTATTAAGATAATGTTAAAATCATTATATACAATAAAACCTACCAAGAGCGGACATTTTTTTTAGAGTCCTCTAAAGAGCGGTAATTAAGGTTTGTTTGGCTAAAAATGCTCGCTTCAAAAAGAATAAAATTACCACACCCTCCTGCTTTTGGGAGATTTTACTGTATAATGATTCTAAAATAAAATTTTCAAACAAAGTTTTGATGTATTATTGTGAGATGTTTATAACTTCACAAACAAAAACATATATGACGTTTTAAACTTTAAATAACCATTTAATTGCAATTCCCATTTTGTAGGTTTATTGTTGTTAAAAAATTGCTATCAAAATTGATAACTATAGTGAAAAAAAACAAAATATAATATTTTAAATGATTATTTTTATTAATTATTTTTTCATATTTTTATTAACGTTTTATCTATTTTTGTTTGTATAGCATTATACAAGTCGGTACGAAACCCCTATAGTTTTCTAAAACCCATCAAGTCGTCAATTGATTGGTTGAAACCAGAAAAAAAATATTTTATATTTAGAAACAACATTTTCGGATGACGATTGCAAGCCAACTCCACAAAAGCGTTGTTGAAACATGTTCTCCGATGTCACTTCTTACGGTTTTACACGAGACACGACTTGTTATGATCATGTATTGAACAGTTATAAACAAATGTAGTTTTTTATGGTTTTTATTTTTATATTTTGTTTTTGTTTTTGTTATACAACATTTTTTTGCCCAATTTTTTATCGTACTTCTTCGGGATGACGTAGTAATTAATTTCTTTGAAGCTTGAGGGGTTTAAGACAAATTGATGGGTTTTTACCATACCTATATATTCATTTTAATTATATTATAATCAAATTCAAATACTCAAACTAGAACAATTCTTTAACCAAAATTACATATTTTAAACAACTATTTTTTTACTCATCAAGATTTGTAAATTTGAAATGTTTTTAATACATATACAAATTTAATTTAACAAATTACAATAAAACTATTATAATATATATTATATCAATATTATA